TCCAGTGAGCACTGAAGTGCTGCTCTCTTCTCCTCTCCGATCCCGGGGATATTTTTAGTATTTAGCAGGTAAACGCTCTTATATAATCAGCAAGGCGAGGAGCAGATGGCACGAAGACTGGGCGCCACTTATAGCTGCACAACCAGCCGTCTCTGCACAACATGCTAAAGATTAACAATGCAAACACATTCATAATCCCTATTATCTACTCAAGTCAGGACCCGAGAGGAGGCGGCGGCTTTATGTATCTGACTTCCATACATCCCTACAGATTCATTCTGCTGGAAAAACTCTCATCTGTGAAATTTGTGTCTCTGCCCCTCCCACAATGGTGAGATTTCCTCCAGTAGTTTGTGTCTCTGCCCCTCCCACAATGGTGAGATTTCCTCCAGTAGTTTGTGTCTCTGCCCCTCCCACAATGGTGAGATTTCCCCCAGTAGTGTGTGTCTCTGCCCCTCCCACAATGGTGAGATTCCCCCCAGTAGTTTGTGTCTCTGCCCCTCCCACAATGGTGAGATTTCCTCCAGTAGTTTGTGTCTCTGCCCCTCCCACAATGGTGAGATTTCCTCCAGTAGTTTGTGTCTCTGCCCCTCCCACAATGGTGAGATTTACCCCCTGTATCCTGTGGGTGGAGTTGGCCTTTAAACTACAATCTGATGCTTGCACTCTCATTATGTACAATGCACAGCACTCTGTGTACACACACCAGGCAGTGCTCACCCCCCCCGGGAAAAGTACACCCATCCTGACACCAAGATCACTTCTGAAAGGTGTACAAAATCAGGCCCCCCCCCTTTCCCTTAAGGGATCCTCCACCCTGACAGGTCCTCTTTCGTAGACACGGCCTGGGCTCGCCGTGGCCGGCGATGTTTGCACGCGATGTTTGCACAGTTTCGGCAAACACTTTTATAAGGCGGAGCAGAGATGAATGAAGCTCGGCAATCATAAAGCGCTGAGATAAAATGTGACAGACGGACGCCGGAGGGCAGATGTGTCAGCGAGGAGATCTCAGCCGCTGGCCGTCCTGACCGCCGTCCCCGACGCAGAGAGACATGTATACAGTATATACGCACATGGCAGCCACACGCAGGTCCCCTATCTATGTACGCACAGCGACGGGGATTCTGGGTAATGACGTCTGTGATTAAATGCGTTCTTTTTTGTTTAAGAAAGTCATTATCAGACATTTCTTCCCCCCCCCCCCCCCCCCCATGGAGACCCCAGAACTTTAATTGCCACTCTGGAAACATGTCCGAGGAGGAAGATCATTCCCCAAAAATCACATCCAGACAGTCTATAAAATCCCCAAAAACCGGCCTCACATGGACAGAGTCAGCTCCTAAAGAGGACCTGTCTACATGAATATATTCCTGAACTGTCTCAGTATAGGGGAACAGGATCACATTTCATAAAACATCCGCATCCTATCACTGAAAAAGCCTTCCAGTCAGTGACTCTGCCTAGGCTGAGATGATGTCATCAGTCTGCTGCAGGCAAGAGGAAGCATTTTCTCAGTCTCCCCTCCCCCCAGTGATCAGTCTGCTGCAGGCAGGAGGAAGCATTTCCTCAGCCACCCCCCCAGTGGTCAGTCTGCTGCAGGCAGGTGGAAGCATTTCCTCAGCCCCCCAGTGATCAGTCTGCTGCAGGCAGGAGGAAGCATTTCCTCAGCCTCCCCTCCCCCAGTGATCAGTCTGCTGCAGGCAGGAGGAAGCATTTCCTCAGTCTCCCCTCCCCCAGTCATCAGTCTGCTGCAGGCAGGTGGAAGCATTTCCTCAGCCCCCCAGTGATCAGTCTGCTGCAGGCAGGAGAAAGCATTTCCTCAGTCTCCCCTCCCCCAGTGATCAGAATGCTTGTGATTGTGCCATCTGGGACGGTGATCCGGGATGATGGCTGAACAAAGATGGCGCCGTCCTGGAGAGAATAGCAGACACAGGCATGGTCAGGGGGAGAATGGC